AGGAAGGAAGGAAGGAAGGAAGGAAGGAAGGAAGGAAGGAAGGAAGGAAGGAAGGAAGGGGGAGAAATTGAGGAAACTGAGGGAGAGGGGCAGGGGAAGGAGGGAAGGAAAGGAGGGAGGGAGGAATCACCTTCACTCCATCTAGACTATGGTATCCACACTCACAGGTATCACCTGTATACACAGCCCAGCCCTGAGAGCTGACACAGCCCAGACACACAAATTAGGACCTGAAAGTGTGTGTGTGCTTAGATTGTTCCACCAAGCACAGAAAAAGACCGTGACCGAGACACACCCAAAGCCAAGTCACACCATAAAGCTGTGTCTGGTTAATAGCTATGAGGACTTACTACGAACGTATTATCACTAGGCTTTTCCAGAGAAGCTGATTCAAGTTTTATGAGATAGAGAAAGCTTTTAGAACTGTAGCCTATCGTACAGCTGCAGAAACCGAGGGAAGGAACATGGGAAGGAGATTTCCAGCCCTGTGCTGGTGGCTCACGCCTGTCATCCTAGCTCCTCAGGAGGCTGAGATCTGACGATCGAGGTTCAAAGCCAGCCCAGGTCAGGAAAGCCCGCAAGACTCTTATCTCCAATGAACCAGCAGAAAACCAGAAGTGGAGGCGTGGCTCAAGTGGTAGAGCGCCCGCCTCGGTGTAAAAGCTCAGAGAGGGACAGCGCCCAGGCCGTGAGTTCAAGCTCAAACACCAAACCCGCCCCAGCACCTCCCCACCCGTGATCGGCCCCCTCGGGCTTGGATCCGGCTGCGGGGAGCCGGCGGGCGGTGGATCCCCGCGGTGCGCAAACAGCAAGCGACACCCGGGTCGGGTGAACCGCAAGGTAACGCGGGGCGGCCGCGTGCAAAGAAAAAGGAGGGAAGCGACACGTGCAGGCAGGGGGGGGCACGCCCTCCGCCTCCAGCACGGAACCCCCCTAGGTAACGCGCGCACACGCACACCGGCGCGCGCACACGCACACGGCGCGCGCACACGCACACGGCGCGCGCACTTGCTCTCGGTGATTGGCGCCGCAGTGGGTGGCGAGGTGGAACAGGAGGGTTGTGGAAGAAAGTATTCGTTCCTCCCAGAAGCCCCGCAGACTCGATCCCTGTGGTCTTTTCTAGAAAGCGCTATCGTGCCTTTGAGCCAAGTTAAAGAGGAAAATAAGCAGGAAGATGAGGGAGGAAGAAAGGGGAGAGGAGGAAGAGGAGGAGGAAGGAGGAAGAGGGGGAAGAGGGAGGGGGAAGGAGAGGAGGGAGATGAGAAGGAGGAGGGAAATGAGGAGGAAGAGGAGGGGAGGAGGAGGGAGAAGAGGGGGAGGAGAGAAGAGGAAGAGGGAGGAGTAGGAGGAGGAGGAGGGAGGAGGGAGATGAGGATGGGGA